ACATTGTCTAAATAAAAGGAAGAATGTTTTAAGAAAAATTCAACAAATCGTTAATACGAAATATATTCGAGGTTTTCTCTTAATAATTCATTAGTAGATAATATTCATTCGTACATCAAAAAGAGATTTATACTTCCACGTCAATAAAACGCTTCTGATATGCATCTTAATAAAGATAAACTAACATACAATTTACATACACAATTTACATATGCATATTATATAGACACTCATACCATCGCACAAATGAAAAATTGTAAAATCAATGCACACGTAGAGAAGTTTAAATATAGTTTCTCGTTTTATAGCGCGATCGATACGATCGAAGAGAGTGCTGACAGTAGTACCAGCGAAACGTGATGGTTTCGAGACTCGTGAAACGGACGGCCGTGTCACAAAATAATCGATAAAAATTCTCGGATTTCATACTATGCTATTATTACATTGGCCGTTGTGGGGGGTAACATACTGGATAAAAAATCGGTACTTGAATATACTGCACAAAACATAAAGGCGGTGCTCTAGGGATAAATTCCCTCGCGTGCGGGTTCAAAGGCGAGATCTGGATTTTCGAAACTTGATTCAGATGCGTTTGCAATTCTTTTCGGTCCATCCCGTACAAATCAGCCGCTTCTAGATATTTTCTCCAGAGATCTTTGCAGCAACCTATAGTAAGCAGAGCGACCGGATCGCCTACGACCGCGACGAAACACTTCGCTCTTGTCAACGCGGTATTCAATAAGCGTGGATCCGTTAAAAAGCCGTAATCCTTGATTTTTACTTCCGCAGACGATCTGTAACAATCGAAATAATCAATATGTATGTGTGTACAAGCGTTCTAAAATGCGTGTCGTCTGTATTAAAAAGTTGATACCTATCAGAGATTCTTGTTCGGACTGTGCTGATAAAAACTGCAGTGAATTGTTTGCCTTGGACGTTCAACACCCTCTCGACGGACACGTCGAAGAGCCGACGCTTGCGCAATTCGATTCGCAATCGTTGTACTTGCTCAGGATAATACGACAAGACTCCAATGGAGCCTTCGTCATACGGGCCCCATTGTGGCGTCGGCCATTCTTTCCTCAACTCCAGGACGCGATTCGCTAGCTCTTCTGCCTCCGTGGCATGATGATATCCCGTGGAACATGTAGCCTAACAATCAGAAATCAATCTGAATCCTCTAAAATTCAATTAAACAATGTAATAAAAAAAAAACACTACAAATTGTCTTCTACAGAAAGAATAATCTCCGATTTAAAAAATTTGCAGTTTAAGAATATCTTTTTTTGCTTTCGTATGACGTCTTCTGACTGAATAATTTGTAAATATATATAGTA